CTGCTCTCATCATTAAACATCTTTTGCCCTCCAGGCAGTCTGCTTTGGTACAGGCAGGGAACAGTTTCTTTAGCCCTTATAAATAGTAGATAGTGGTGCGATTCAGCCACATTGCTTGCTGGTGATCAGGAGGGTTGGAGGAAGTCTCTCAGACCTGGACCTGGCCAAGACCTCCACTTCAGCCCATCAGCCAGCCTGGAGCCATGCAAGTGGTGTTTGAGGGAGACCAGCCAGAAAGATGCTGCACTTCCCTGTGGTCCTGCACAGCTCAGAGATATCTCTTCTTAACTGATCATATCCAAGTTAAATTAATCTTGATATAATTAACACAACACCTGCCAGCATTTGCTTGCTGGAAAAGTAGAAATATTTAGAAGGGCTTCATCTAAGGGCCTTCTAGGTTCTCAGTAAAGACTCCCCTGCTGTCTCCAGCCACATCCCATGCCTGAGTGATGAGTCATAATCTTGCACAAAGGAAACGCAGCGCTCATTGTGAAAAAAACAATGCAGGATGCATTGGTTGTCAAAGGTCACAGGGTCCCCACCACATGATGATGTTGTTTCCCAGCCTGCTTTACAACAGAGGACAAGAGGGGAGCATTGCATATGCCCAGGAGGGACTTCACCACCACTGGCCTCGTACCAGCAGGGTTTGATTGCACCCAGGCACCGAGCAGCCTGGCCGAAGGCACAAGCAATACCCAAACGCTAATCCAAGCCTCTGTGATGACACATCACCAAATTCTGCTTCCACCTCAGGCAGAAATAGATGATACTGCTCTTCTTGACCACTCTGTTACCAGTTCTGTGTGTTTTCCTATGGAAGAGTCCACGGGGCATCTCACTCCTCCCTGCCTGGTGGTAGTAATACCTACGCTTCTGGATTTTAAGCACCACCAGAGTTTGTTTGCTAAGGTTAAGGAAATGGTTTTGAAGATATCTATCACTGACACTATATCCTACAGCAGAGTTACACATGCATTCTTCTTGCTTTCTTATTTTGAAATGAATTGCAATAATTCATAAAAAGTGACACAAACATAGTATGCACGTGCCTAAAATCTAGAGGTTTTTTTCAACTACATCGAGATTTTCATCAGAAGTTAACACAACCACTGCTCACATGCCTCTTCAGTATTTACAACAAATGTTTCATTTGCTATTGTAAACCAGCCTGTTATCAGTTTTGCATATCTGCTCCAGACTCACCAGCTTCCACTCTGTTGTTTCTGTAGAGCTGATGGTGGTGGGGAGGGCTGGTCCACCAGCTCCTCACAAACTGCTGGCTCTTGCCCTGGTGCCTCTGCCTCTGTGCTGGGCTCCGAGAGAGGACCCCAAGGGCTACGCGAGAGGACCCCAAGGGCTACGCACGCAGCCACAGGGACATCAGGCACAGCAGCCTGAGGCGGAGGTTGGAAGGCAGAGCACAAACTGTTTCATTACTGGGATGGGAGACCTTATTGACATGAGAATTTTGTGGGGATGAGTACATCCTGAATGCTAAAAAACATCTAAAAGGATCATTCCCCTTTCTCTGCTCGCTGCTATACAATACGTTTCTTTTCTGCTTTTGCTTTCACCTATAACTTAAGTCAAATAAGATCATTCTCTGTTCTCCTTTTACATTCATAAACTGCATTAATTACATGACAAAAAGAATACATATTACATTTGTTGCTTAGCATATGCCACAAGCAGAGGGAGATTTTTCTCTTCCCACTATGAAACGTTGACATGGATACAAATTCTGTACAGTGCTATAAACCACTGGTGGTTTGTCTCAGCTGGAAAGAAACCCCATCCCAAAACATCCGCATTTCCCACAGAGCAGAGCTCCCCTTGTCCCACCAGCACTCGATGAGCAGAGGGATGGACCCTGCCTTCCCCAGCCAGGACCAGTGGCCCGAGAGGATGGCGTGACTGGCAGCTCTCCATGCAGCTCCCCTGCCCTGGAAAGCACCAGGCACCCAGAGGGACCCTGGCGCCAAGGGCTCCCTCAGCAACCCAGAGAGGGCAGGGCTGGCATGGCACAGCCTCACTAAGGCCACCAGAAGCCTCGAAGAGACAGCACAGAGATCTCATTTCTGATCAAATTCCTGATAGCACCAGGTACATCCATACCCATACATGCTATGCAATCAAACATCCTCTCACAGCTAAGGTGGCTCAGGTGTCACAAAAAAATTACAGATGGATAGAGATTGATAAAGCAAGGCCACCTCCATGCATCCCTTCCCTGCACCTCGCAGTTTGGGCAAGGCACAAGAGCAAGGTTTGGTGAGCTGCCAGTGCACACGGATGTGCAGGCACATTTGCACACATGCTCCGATGGGGACTAGTTATAGGCCACTGTCCTACTGCCTCTCCTGGAGTGACTTACAAACAAATGCCCTTGTGATCTCTGTTCCCAAGCCAGCTCTAGTCAGCAGTAACTTGTTATCACCTTTCCTTTATTTAGCCAGGTGAAAATTTGAAAACCTGCCTGTATGTTCAGTGAAAACCATAAAGCAACAATTGTTAAATAACAGAACTTAAACATTTACAAAACAAGTTAGAAAACAGATTTTTTTATTAGGAATAAAATCATCACAGGGAAATGAAAACAAAACACCAAAAAACCCCAAACAATAGCTGGGCATGAACACATACGGTTAAAGGAAGAGCACAGGCTGCATGACTTCTCTTCTGACCTCATAGTAACACAAACTTTTGCCTTCTTCAGTGGGGAAGGGCAGAAAACCAGCTGTGTCCTATCTGCCTCGTAAAGATGTCTCGAGTCTCAGTTTCCCATCTCAATGGGAAAAATCCTTCCCAGCCTGGGGCTACACCAGCAGCAGTGCTAACAGCTGTCAGGGCACCCCCAGCCCTCCCAGGGCTGACAGCAGCGAGGTGGCACTGGCGCAGCCCAGGGGGACAAGGCTGGCCCAGCTCTGTCACCCTCAGCACCCGAAATGCTGGCATCTTGTCCCGCGCAGCTCAGAGCACTGCTCAGCCCTCAAGGTTAAGCATGTGCTGGAGTCGACTGTCCCCTGCCTGCTCCTGCCAGAAAGTGCAGAAGAGAAGTAAAGCTGACTACATCCCCCCCATTTCGGCGATGCTGGCCCCTGTCCACCCAGTGTCACTGCCGCTGTGCTGCCTACAGGCAGCTGCCATCCTAAGTGCTCGGCATCCCATTTTTGTCATTCAACTCACGGCCTCTGAGGAATGTTTGTACTGAAAGGAGATAGCACAGCACCATGACGAAAAGAATTATTATCTCCCTCTTACCGTGGAAAATCTGATTCCTACAGCAGCCTTAAAAAGCAGAGGCAGGCTGAATCACCACCAACACAGTACACAAGATCCAAAAATCTTCTAAACAGAGTCACAGGACAAGGAAACAACAAGAACAACCTATGGCTGGGTGTCACCGATGCAGAGCTTTGCCATGTACACAGACATAGAGGACTTCCAGGTGAGCATGCAGCCGTCCCACCAGCTCCCCCGCCTGGGAGAGAAGCATTCAGCTTGGTTTTGATCTTGCTGGGGTACTTGCAGACCTCGTTGGGTGGCATTTACAAAGCATACCGTAAATCCGTTTCCAAGGGATTCATGGCACAATGACAACACAATATAAAACAGGGACAGAATGACAAGGGAAGAGAGAGGAATGCAATACACACCTCCCTATCCCTTTCAGCCCCAATCTGTACCATCTCTGCTTTTACTCTACCATGCCTTTCTATCTTATTGGGCTAGTAGTTTAACACCAACACGCCTCACCTCCAACTACCAAAATGCACTTATACAGTACATACACCTTGCTCTGGCAGTGCACCCTGCAGCATTCCCTGTGGCCTGACAGCCCTGCAGCCCCCAGCAGCTTTGCCAGGGACTCAGCTACCTGCTGCCTGGGACCAAGTCCTTGCCCGCTCCTCACCTCGTCCTTCTTCCCTGCAGGTCTACCCCAGCCACTCCACTCACAAACCTCCCCTGAGCAGGACAGGACGTGCAGAGCAGCAAGACTTACCTAAGAGATTCTATAAATTGCTTCTGTCTGTGCAAATAACACAGCACTGAAAAAGCCTACATGCACAGGCAGATGGCCAGCTTAATCAGCTTGCAGTAGCTAAACCGTTACAGTAAAGGCACTAATGCTTGCACTGATGAACAATCTCAGCATTATAATCAACATTTCTGACAAAATTACACGCCCAAGCCCCAGGCACCCTTCTGCTGCAAGCAAGCAAGCTAGTGACAGAGCTATTTTAACCCACTGGCAACCCGAGCAGCTAAATTCTGATGAAAGGTAACCGGTAGCCCCCTGCCATTACAGGGCATCAAAAGGTGAGCAAGCCAGCGTCACCTCCCGGGGTCTGCATGCAGCAGCCCCCCCCCCACCGCTCTTGGCCCCTCGCAGCAAGCAGTGAGCACCAAATTACAAAGGGTCTGGAGCTCAGAGCAGCGATTCAGAGGAACACCCGGCACAGCAGATACCAAGCTGAACCCTCCATCGAGCTTTTTTGCAGGGCCTGTTTAAAATGCCTTGAAATCTCCTGAGAAGAGGCTTTCTCAGGAAATTTCTGGCAGTTCCTTGTTTCTGTCTGGGACTGGCAGGCTACCTCAATCCACCTGTCATGCCTGTCCCTCATGGGAACTGCTGGCTGGTGAAGGCAAGGCATGGGGTGGGGTGGGCAGGGAGCAGGAGGACCTGCCCATCTCGTTTCAGGCTGTCCTCTACGGCTCCACAGGTTAAATGCAGGTCTGTTAACAGGCAAAGCATCAAAGAGCTGCCCAGCTTTCTTAGTGAACCTGTCAGCGGCGTTGAAGCCACACATGGTCTTTTTGTTATTTTTTCTTTTTTTGTTTTTTTTTTTTTTTAAATGAGGTTATCATGCCTGACACCTCACTTTTTCCCTGCTAAAATTTTCCGGACCAATTCTTACACACAATGTGACTATGGGATGCAAAGGACAGGTGTCATAGGCTTCAAGACAGGGTGGAACAGCAAGCATGCCAGATCAGTCATCAGTTGGATCCGGGAAACAGTCCGAGGCATTTTCCTGGCTTTCCACGTCAACTATGACCTCTGGGTCTGGCATTTCCTCAGCCCCTACTTCCACTGGTAAATTTTCTTCCACAGGGGGCTGGGACTCAATGCCTTGACCAGTACAGGCGGTATCTGGAAAAGAAGGGAGAAATGGCGTGTAAATGCCCGTGCTATGCTCACCCCCCATGGAAATCCTCCCCCCAGTCCCTGATGCTGCCTAACCCACTCAGTCCCTTCTCCCCATGTGTCTGCAAGCCACATTTCAATTTTCTTTGTAACTACTCATTTATTGAGCAGTTCATGGTGGCTTTCTCTGCAAGGTATTTTGGTGCTGAAGCTCTCTGAAGCCAAATCTCGTCAGTTACATCTGAGTAATTAAAGCTGGCTAACAGCACACATTTAATATGTTTTCACCTAAACACTTTCCACAGGCATCTCTGATTTTTACTAATTTGTAGAAAATTTAAATAGAGGATACTTTGTTAGTCAAACTGACAATGGGAAAAATTGTTATTAAAAAATAAAAGATTCTACATTTTAAATGTATTAATATTAAACAATGACCTGAATGACTTACAGCATTTTCTTTCTTTCTTTCTTTCTTGCACTATGTTCACAAGTAGCATTTAATATTTTGAAGGCAGGGCTAAGAAGCACCCAAGGTTAGACATAAAGCATAGCTGAGCTGCTGAGAGGCTGTGCACGATACAGTGAAGGACACCAGAAGTGGAGACAGCAATGCTGAGACCAGGCTATGACCTATGTCAAGTTGCTCAAGTTCATGTCTCTGCTAGACCTACTTCAGCTGATGGCAGTGCATTACTAGGGAAGGTGGGGAAGGGGTGTGATAAAATTGCAAGAAAACCGCTAAGTTTGTGGGGGTTGCAGTTTGTTGCAGTTTTTGAGAAATGTGCATTTTAGCACAGGAGATACTGGAACAGTCAGTCCAGTCTGCTGGCAGCACCCTCTGCAGGATGCTTACAAGACGTCTGCTGCTACCTCTCACAGCCGGGTAAGGGCAAGAGCTACTCGTGCACAGAAGCAGAGCAGGAGTAAGGTACTGATAAATGACCGGGTGCAACTTGTCGTCTGGACAAGATGCAACACCTTCCCTGTGCTAGCGAGTCCCAGGCCCCTCTCCCCAGTCTGCTCCTCCCCCATCAGTCATACACATCCATTTTGTCCTTTACCCTCCTAAACAGGCTATCTGTCTGACCCAAAACAAGTCACTGGACCCACCAGGCTTTGGAGGGCAGTCGATTTGGGCAGCTTGGGCCTCGACGTGGTCTCCGTTGGGGGGGCTCTTCACATCTTCACTGGAGACCATGGACATTGTTAGTCCGTCATCCTTCTCCTCTGTAAAACCGAAACCGGAGACTTGAAAGAAAGAGATCCCCCACATCCCAGAAGCCTCGGCACATTCATTGCGAGGCTGGGCCACCAACACACGTGTGCGTCCCCTCCTCATGTGGCACTGGCCCCATTCCCGGAGCAGACAGATGCTGAGTACATAGGGACACTCCAACCTGTCAGAGACCAGGTTGGCCATGCTGGCAGGATCACAGCTTGAGGTGGCCTCACTGGGCGTGGGCAGATTGCATTCAGAGACTGGTGCTGACAAAGCACCGCCATCAGAAGCCTTCAGGTCCTTTCTGGATCAGATTTGAATGAGGCTCAATTTTCTCGGACACAGAAAACATTTTGCTGTGTTTCTTTCTGGCCAGGAGCACATGGTGGCAAGGATGAAGTGAAAAAAAAAAAAGAAAAGCAAGGTTTAATTCAAGACCCCGCTGGTTTTAACATTTGTCTGTGAGCAAGCAGCTTTCTGTTCCACCAGGTCAGGGGATGGATGGCTGGAAGACAAGCAACCACCAAGCCAAGGCCAAGCTACGCTGAGGCTATTTCAACCCCAGCCTGCACAAACACAGTCCTCTGTGAGACTTATCCCAGGAAGCGACACCATTCTCCACTCACCTGAAGGCACTGGCATGAAATTGTGTTTCCTCTTCATGCAGCAACATGTGATCGAGGACACAACCACCACCAGGATAACCGCACCCCCTGCGCACCCTGCCAGGATGTAAATGAACCACGGGTACTGCAGCAGGTCTCCTGCAAGAAGGACAGGGTGCTGTTAGTTACCAGGGCAGAAAAGCTTCTTTCTCCAAACGGGAGAAACCCTGCAGACAGATTAGAGCATGTGGGCATTATCATTGCTTTGGTTTGGTTTGAATCAGGGGAGCTGATATTCTGAACTGTGGCACATCATAATTTATGTCACCTCATTTAATTCTGGTAGGGAATTTTTTAAGAGAAGAGGTTGGCGTGACTATGCTGTGTGTGCTTTCTTTTCTGCCTACTCTGCAGTACATCTGGGTTAATTCACAAGTTTTAATCAAATTTAACAGGGAATGTGGTGATTTGAAAGATACTACATTTCAACAAGTTTTATGAGAACAGGCAGCTGAGGAGGGAGACCTAAACTAGGATCTCTACTGAAAGAAAAGCTGCAGAGTCTGCCCTTAGAGCTTGTATTAGGCCCCAGAGAATACACTTAGGACAGCCGTGTAATGACTACGCCAACCTCAAAGCCAGTCTGATCAGAGCCTGCACTTGCTCGGGCACCACAGACTCCAGCGCTGGGGTCAGGGCTGCAGGAAACCGGCTTCACTGCTGCTCAGGGAAGGGTTTGTCTTTATTCCCCTTCCCAACCGAGATCACATGAAACTCCTAGCAGGAGGCGACAGCTACAGATGGCTAGGCAGAAGGCCACGCACACGTTGGTGGTAATCGTTACCCAGTTCAGAGTCCCTTGCTCAGGGCTGCTTTGATGGGTCAGGCTCGCGCGTACGTTACTGCTGAGCAGGGAAGCTGGTAGAGGGCATCACGGACTTGCAGAAAGAGAGATCCCTCCAGACTCGCTCCTCCACTAAGACAGACAATTCGCTCCAACCTGGGGCAGTCAGTATGAAAACTCTTCTTCCCAACATGAAAAAAAGCCATACAGCTCAACTATTGCTATAATGCAAATTCCTTAAAACTCCCTAGGTAAACCCAAGCCATCCCTTTTTGAATCATTTGGCTGCTTCTGTGTGCATGCCTGCACAGCACTGCACTGGGGAAACCAACAGGCTCATTTGGAGCATGCTTTCAAGACCCCAAATGCACAAATTGCTGCATATCCCCAGAGGCTGGGAAGTGTTTCAAACATTCCGGGCTATACTGCACGCTGTCATAGTCCACATACGCACCAGAACAGTAAAAACACCTGTAGACAGGTGCTCCTGCGTGTGAAATCACACGTATTCAAAGTATTTTTGCAGTGCTTGTTCCAGTCTCTTTAGGAACAGTTACCAAGTTAAAAAAAAAATCTATATTCAAAATTGAACTTTCAGCAGATTAGAAATAATTTCCCTAATAATTTTATTTCCTTTTTGATTAAAGCTTAGAGAATATTGTCAAATGCATAAATATATGTTGGAAATATTTTTTCCTGAATATTTTTTCCTAAAAATTTGCCATTCTTTAAAAAGTCTTTTTGAGACAATATATTGTGTTAAAATCAGTAATAAACAAGTAATGAATCAATGAAATCCTTTTACGTATGTTGACTTGTTATTTTCTGAATCATCTGCTTTAGATCCTGCGTGATCAGAGCCTTTTGGTGCCTGGGAAATTTACAGCATTTCTGCCAAATTGTTTTATTATGAACAATTATTCAAAATTAATTTCATCAGCCAACAGATTGCCCAAATAAGTGCTTTTACATAGATCTTATGCCTACAGTGGAAAAACTATATCCAGTCCTTTGCGTGAAGCAAATAACAACCCACAAACATAATGAATTAGTCTTTAATTAATTTAATTGAACTCATTTCTCTCTTCAATTCATTTTACTAGTATTCAGAACTGCTTTAGTTCACTTTTATAAATGCGGTTGCATTTGGTGACTAAAAGGTAGAATCACTGCTACTTTCTTGCTTTCAGACCGTTCCAAACACGTGTTCATGCACATGTCCATCCCAACAGAGCTATCACTAAATTCCCCTGTGGGCTTTTCAAGAGGAAATGGGGAACCAATATCGCACCCAAGGGACTGGGCAGAATAAACCCACCCAGAAATAACAACGGTAACTGTCAGCACTCGTGTGATTTATTGCAGGACTTGACTCAACAGCTCATGGCTGTTTGCATCCTCATTCCCCAGTGTCTCAGCTAACTTGGGTCTGACTACACTGAACAGCCTTTGACCAATTTAGCAGGACAAAAGATGACTGCTCCACAATCACACATGCCCAACTTGTACAGATTGGCCAGCAACACCAACGCGATCAGGCATGAACAGCCCACGGCATCTCTGTTGAATGCCAGCACACGATACAGACTTTATGTCAGTAATTTTGTTTTCACAGCAACTGTATGCCAACCATAGAAGAAAATACACTATATCTGCTGTAGAGCTGGAGCATCTCAGACCTAATTTCTAAAATGCTAGGTGCTATTGCACAGTACAATTTTTCTAGTAGCAAAGGTGATTAAATTAATTACAGCTAAGTTAGTAAAAAACCTTAAGGTTAAATTATGCCACCCTGACATAGTTTTGATGACCATCTTCACTGCTAGAGAGGAGAAAAACCTTCTCTACTGGAGATGCAAGTTAAATCATGCCCAAGGTTATCTAATTTTTTTTTTTTTTTTTTTTTATAATGCGAGCTTACAACACAGACCAGTGCTTAGCATCATGAGGTTCTGGCAGTTTGGATTAGTTCTAGGATCTGGATTTTCTGTCTCATTAAACTATGGCCTCATTCAAGCTGAGTACTTGGCATTTATGAATAGCTTGCAAATGGATAAAGTCACAGCCTTCTCACAGAACTACATATCTGAGCAGGGACATGGACGGAAAAAATCTTACATTTTTGTTAGTAAATGACCTGTGTCTTTACACCTCTGATGGTGTGGGGCTGATGGACAAACATTTGTATAGACTGATAAATCTTTGTGCAGCTAGCTTAGATAAGGAGAAAAGAGGGAAGGCAAAACACCTCAGCTGAGTCCAGCAGCAACAAGGCTGAAGTCCCAGAGGTGTTTTTACAGGGATGTTGCAGAAACTGGAAGGCTGTCTGGGTAACGGATCAATGTCAGAGTAGGAAGCAGCTCATGTTTCTAAACCAGCATAGAGTATCAGTGCACTGGAGGGTGCAAGGTCTCCATCACTGTGAAGCAGGAAAACAGACAAATAGAGATCCGTCCTTGCTGCAGAGTTGGGTAAAAGAACCTCGTGAACAAACTTTCAACCCTTCTGTGGTTGTAGGTTGTGTCAGTCCGAGACACAGGAGGGAGAAAGAAGGGGACACTTTGTAAAGGGAGGATGTATTAAGTCTGGAAGGCAGCTGCCAGAGGACAGAAAAGTTTGGTATCAAGCAGACAGCAACAACTCCTTAGTTTGCTGCTGCAAGAGACCAGAAGGGAGATTTTCTGGAGACGTCGCTACTCACCGTAGTTGCAAGCCAGCACAACCGGCCTGGACCTGACGATGCTGTTCCCATGCTGAACTTCACATACAAATTCCCCAGGCACGGTTTTGTCTAGATGAATCTTCCCACAGTTCTTAATACAACTCTCAGAGGTGCTCAGCTCGGTGCCATTCAGCAGCCACCGAAACGTGGTGCTCTCATTGCTGGTCACATCGCAGGACAAGTCTCCGGTCCCATTAGGGAAGCACTGGATACCAATGGCCAGCTCTGGTCACACACAGCACGGGGCAATGGGAACGGGGAGGAAAGAGAGACATGAGAAGTGGACTCAGCAGTGACCATGAGCTGGACAGGAGCTTCCTTTACTGCGAGTCTTACTAACACCACATTTACTGGTAGCCAGGGAGCACAGAAGTAAGTAACCAGACTCTTCAGTGCTTGCCCCCATCCCTGAAATGCTCAGCAGTGCCCACCCAATCCTGCTAGCAACTCTTGGTCCCTATTTTGAGGATGCTACAAAAATCTGGCGTCTCTTCTTTTCCTTATTGAAATTGAAAAAGCTAAAAAGTAAAAGCCCTTGATCTGAGAGGATGATGGCAACACCCAAAGCATCTGCCGGCCAGAGGCTTCCTCTGTAATCAGTGGATAACCATAGCTTCAGAGGAGGTTCAGTCCTCTCCTCGACCAGGAGGATCTTACTACATTTTCCTGAATTTCTCTCAGTCTACTACAAGGAGCCAACCTATTTCTCACATTTGCCACTTTGCAAATACAGACTAGACAGAGAAGTGGTATGGTGTTATGACAGTAAGAGTCACACTGAGAACATCTATGCAAACATCCATGTAGGTAAGCTCAGAAATCACTTTCTTCAACTACGACATCCTCTTCTGTTCCAGGAATATCTTTGCTGTGAGACTGTTTCTCTAACTTACGTGTGGCAACAGAGCATGACAAGGACACAAAAGTTCCCAAAGCAAATCCACTGAAATGGAGGTTAAAACCAGGATACTTCTGCAGCCTTTCCTACTTCCAGTCTAAGCCCCTGATCTTCATGCCAAGGAGTCACATCTTTGACCTACTCTCAGCAACAGTTCCGCCTGTTTGCACCTGAATGGCATATGGATTCATTTGTCTTCACTGAGAGACCAGTTTGCTTAGACATTTTCATTACAATTTCATACGCTTCAATTTCTCTTAGAAGCTTGTGTAAGTGAAAGCCCTGCAAAACGAACAGTGGAGAGGAGGACCAGAGCTATGGTTGGCGGCTATCTGGAGCACTATTCAGCAGGGGGGCAGACTCATATTGGGGCCTTCTCCATACTGACCCAAGCAACGAGCTGGATCCTGTACCAAAGTGACTTTATTTCTGTCTTTACAGCCCGCAGATGGATAAGCAGGCACACGAAGGAGAGAGGCAGTTCTGAGGCCACAGGGAGGACAGCAGGGAGACTGGCACGGTAAGGTACCTATCGCTGGTCTCTGAACAGACCCAGAAGATGCTGATGTCCAAGCTGCCATGGGCAGCTAAGAATCAGAAAGTCACACCCAGATTCCTTTAGCACCTTTCCTCGGCTGCACAAAGCAGGGGAAAAACCAGCACACCTCAACCCAGACCTGCACAGGAGTCCGGTTCAGTTTCCAGAGCCAAGTCAGGTAGGGTTAACCCCTTAAGGAAGCATGTCCACAAGCAGCAAAATGCTGTCAGTCAGTGAGAGCTTTCATTAGAGCCATCAGGACGAGGACTCTGGAAATGGACTGAAATCTTCAGTTACATGTCTACATACTGTACGCTCAACTTCACCAACACTTCATGCTGCTATCTCTTACGTCGGAAGAGCATGTAGCTGAACTGACTGGCTGCTTCAAGGAAGGCTCAACAGACAGGAGAGACTGACAACATGGATGCAAAAAGCATCCCTTACTTTACACTCTCCGTTACTGCTGCCTGAGGTGCTGGAGGCTTACAAAGCTGTTCCAGAGGCACCTATAGCTCCTGCAAGCTCAAGCAGTCTCTTAGGAAGAATTTCAAGGCACCTGCTTCCAGCCAGACTCACAAGTTCAAAAGCTATTTGTTGCTAAGAAGGCCACTTACCAAATACTTCCAGCGTAAAAAATCTGGTGGTGTTGTGAAAAACAAACTCGTAATTTCCTGCGTCCTCTTTCTCCACACTCCTCAGTACTAGGGAGCCATTCTGCAAGTTCAGGTATCTGGCAGCAGAATTGCCACACTTGGCAAACAAAGTATCACCTAAGACATTTGTGTGGCATTTTGTGTCCCTCTTGCTCATTCTGGAGAAGTTCTGCAGACTTTGAATTCCCACAGAAAAGACTGCTGAGCCGCCACTGAGCACACTGGTCCAGGTGACAGAGCCTGAAAGGAGAGGCACAGAGTGTGGGCAGTGAGCTTGCTGTGTCCATCCATCTCCCCTTCGGCTGCCTCCCAGAAAGGCAAATGCCCAGGTGAGACATCAGAGGGACAGACCCACCCTAGTGACAGGCTGGGGTCACCAGTAAGTGAAAATCAAAGGAGTGGGAAGCCTTCTATAAAGGCCAACTTTCCCCCCCCGATAACAGGGGAGTGGTGCACACACCATGCACACAAGGCGATGAAAGGCTGAGCAGCTGGTCTTTTCTCTCCCCAAATTTGACATGAGCATCTACCATCCCCCCTCAGAGCTGAGAGACTGTGCAAAGAAAGATCCTCAGGGCATCAATGTCAATTGCAAAAACAATTGCTGCTTGCACAGCTACTTTTACCCGAAGAGCAAGGTTGCAGTTTTAACTTGAACAAGTCTCACAGTATCCTTGCACATTAATGCACGTTATTAAGTTGCTGTTCGCAAATCAGAGATGGGTGAATGGCAAGGCGACAGCAGCTCGAGGACTAACCCAAGGTCACACCAAGCGCTAGGAGCAGGACCCCATTGCTCTCCAGCCCCTCCAGCCAGTGTTCTACATACAAGGACCTTACGTTCTCCACTGAAATGCTTTTTGAAACATAGTACACAGAGAAAGTGCTATCTTGTTAGTTATCATTCGTTTACTAAAAAAATAATCTGTCTTACTTTAGTCTGACTGCCCCTTTCATGCATTAGCAGTTACACTATTTGATGTCTCCCCAAACCTGGTAGAGTCCTTAAAAGATCTTGGAGCAAAATTAAGGCGTCTGCTCATCTAGGCAAATCTGTGCCAACTTCATAAAGAAAAATCCCACTTACCATGAGTAACAGTTATTATCACCAGCAAGCACTGCAGAGTAAAAGGAGAGCTGAAATCCATTTTAAAGAACTCTTTGCATCATGTGCTGAGAAGACGATCTGGCTACAGAGCTCAGTGAATATAGCATTCAGGAAATGATGTCAGAAGCAAGAGTGGAAAAAAAAAGAAAAGAAACTCCATAGTGGATAGCTTGAATAATGTTTCAAAATAGACCTGCAAGGTTTTGGGTGACTGAACTCGGGCTGAACCAACACGAGTCGCCAATGTGCTTTGCAAAGTCCTGCACCTTGGAGCTAGCTGCAAGTGTGAGAATAGGGCTGAGAGGTGAGGAGACAAAAATATCTCCTGGTCAGCTCACCCCATTTAGGAAGATGCTAATGCTGAGACCGGGCACAGGTGAAACACCTATTTCTTTCATTCTTTTCCAGTTTATCAAAGTAGGGAAGAGAAATCAGTCCAGTCAGATAAAGCACTGCGCATGCAAGCCAGCTGATTTTCTGAAATACCAACAACGATCACTCACAGAGAGTCTCACCAGCAGAAGGGGCGGGAGAAGGCTCTCCCTCTGCTCGCACAGGCTCTGTTGCTAGCCTGCGCTTTGCTGGGCTCTTCTAGCGACCGAACGGTACCTGCCATACGGGAAAGGGCTCCGCACAGCCACCCCAGGCAAAGAACAAAGGTTACGGGAAGTTAAGTTGCATTGCAAAACTGGACTGAATGCAGCCCGAAAGCCGCCCTGGCTCTGTTTGGTGTGCTGATCCCAGAGGCAAGACTGAAAAGTCAGTCTTGAAGAACCGCTGTGAACCAGTTATCTACAGGGCCACACAGGGCCACACACTTTGTTCACACTCGTTGAGATGGCTTAAAGCACACTGGCGTTTTGCACTGAGTGCTGAGGTGGATTACACAAGCAATGCAGCAGAAACCGTCTTGCTCACCGGAGGAAGTAAACTGCCATTGCATTAGAACCAACATCTAGATTTTTCTTAGACGCACTTAGCAGATGTCCTGGAGAATAACTGTGACAGCAGTTCAGGATGTGGCTGGAAATCTACTTTCGTGTTCTTTCTCTGGACACAGACATAGACACAGTCTGTTAAGGAAGCTCCACACAGTGGAATTACAAGCATTTCTGAGAAATGGTTAAACCCCTTGTGGTGTGGTCTGCACTATTTTTCAAACAATTTGTCTCTGCTTGATAATACCACATTTTGGCCAACAGTTTGGCCCATCTGGCTTCTTAGCAATGACAATTACACCTCACCTCCTGCTCCCAGTGTCCAAAATTTACAAGTTTGTTCAAGGCTATCGCAGCACCATCCTGTCTTTATCGTACGTGCATAGGACAGGCCTAAACTGATCTCAGATGTGACAGAAATAGCCTTCTCTGAGAAAAGCAATGAAGTGAGTCTTCAGACACTCACAGCAGTGCAGAGGAAGGGGGGAGAGAGAAAAGTATTTACAGTAAGAAACACTTTCATTTCCTTCTGTGCTGCTGAAATGACATGAAGAAAATCTCAAATACCACTGCAAGACTGGGGCTAACCATCTGCCTTGGATGCGCACACTCAACTTCATTTCACCTTCATGCTTGAAGGGCAAGCTGGTAGAACTTTGGGTTGCAGTGCTGCGGTGGAGATGCGAGACAGAACAGACAGTATGTGCAGGGTTGTTTCAAAACAGCACCCCGAAATGTTCAGAATCTCAGAAGAACAACAAAATGCAAAAGGGGTCGGCATACAGCCAAGTCCAGCAAAAGTTCACCTTCTCCTCCAGCCAACGACAGCACCCTCACAGAGCTCATTTACAGATTTGCAGTAAAATCAAAGAAAAATACGGCCTTTCTACTGTAGCTCTGTTGTTACAGAAGTGACTCTGCATGACTGTGACATTGCGGTGTCCTGTATTTAGTCTCCCTCTCAGTGACTCCAGGGCAAATGAGTACATTTATGAGTTCAATATTTCTGACTGCAAGTGCCCCATACATCACGCAGTATATGAAGTCCCATTAGGCTCCTTCTGTCCCTCACATCCTCACTAGCTAAAAAAAAAAAAAAAAAAAGAAATCACAGCCAGGATAAAGATGACAGCACACGCGCAACCTGTATTGTCATCAACCAGCAGCGTCTTCTTAGGAGCAACCCTCTTAAATTTCATATATAACAAATTTTTTAGATGAGATTAGACACTAATTTCTAACATTGGCTAATGAATGCTCACAACACCCTTGGCTAGCCAGAGAAGTCACTTCCCCCTTTTATATAAAGACGCATAAAGTTTTGTGTTATTATTGCAGACAAAAAAACACCTTGTGGGGCTTAACAGAAACCACAAGTGACAAAAAAAAAGACAAGAACTTGTAGTTGTAGGGTGAACTAAAATCTTCTATACTTGGTGAGTTGCAAGCTCACAGGGCCATTTTGTCCTTTCGGCCACTGACAGCATCATGAAAGGAGAATGGAGATTCATCCCTTACATGACATGAGGCATTGATGGAGCATGGGAGATTGAAAAACCTAATTTAGTAAGTACAGCAGGAAATAAGCTGTGAAGTATTATGAAGTAAATTTGTACATACTAACTCTACACATCTTCCTTTAAATAGGCTAGCAAGCGTAAGCAGCGCACCTATTTTTACTGTTGTTAATGCACATCAGCATTAACTGTGAAATACACAGACCTAGCTTCACACAGGAGGCAGCAGAGCTAAATGCCAGGAACTCAATGCGTGGAAACAGAAAATAAGCCTGTGCCTCCAGCGATGCAGAGAGCCAGCTCTGCGTTGCTGCTGCTGACGGTCCCCGCACCGGCCCCTGCACCAGCCCCGGGCCAGAAAACGCTGCTGGCTGCAGGCGTTCTGCTCTTCTGTCCATCTGTCCCGCTGCGGTGGAGCAGCACGGCCACAGCTACAGCACAGGCTGCCGGGCAGGTACAGCCTGGACCGTGCAGCACTGGAGGGGGGGGAGAGGCCTGCAGCCATGTCTGCTTACCTGTACAATCCACACCTACAGCTATTCATGCATAAGGAATTTTTTTTAAACACACTTTGAGTGGCACTTACGGGAGTTTAACTGTGAAGCCACAAGGCTGGAATGGGGGGCGAGCCTGAGAGATGGTTCTGTGTTCTGTGTGCGGGCAACAGGACCTCAGAGACTGATGAAGATTTATATGCATAAGAATATGAATTCTTTCTTTGTTGAATGAAACTAGCCAAAGAATTATGCTTGAACTCTGAAACACACAAAGGTGTACGCTTACATAGTGATAAAGAGACTGTCACGCACTTTGTTTCTCTAACATCAAAGTTATGAAATTACAGCTACTTTACAACTTATTTAGGAATTGGATGTGCATAATCAGGGTACTCCTGTAGATCATGTTCAGAGCAAGTGACTTTTGGACAAAATAGGCTGTACTGGCATAGCAAGAGGAGTGACCAGGACCTGTGGTCACAGATGAAGGCCCTCTTGTATCAGGGACTCCACAGCTCTGCATAAAGCTGTCAGATTTCCATCTTGCACACTCCCAGACTCCCAGCTACAGACAACCAGGAACATGGACGTACACAGGATTTCCCAGGCAGCCCCAAAGCACAGGTTTGCCAAATACCGTATGCCCGGCACGAGACCTGCTCCACTGGCCCTCATCCCACACGCTGCCCTGCGGCACTCGTACTCCACGCATTTGCAATGCAGCCCAGCAGCACTGCTGCTTGGGACCCAGCACACCAGAGAAACCCCTTCAGCCTGATCTGCACACGTCCAGCCAGCTGCAGCTGGTTTATGTGGTCCTGGAGGGGCAGAGAAACCAAGCGGCTGTATTGCAGCTTTGGTTAGACATCATTTTACTGAGGGCAGCCCGTTCTCAAAGCTGACCAGCACCCTAAGCACACGTGCCACTCACCTCAGGGGGTGAGCACCACGTTTGTCTGCCAGCGTGTCTGACAGATGAGAAGCTCTTGCCCACCACAGGGGCCAGAGCAGAGAGGTCTCATGTGTCAAGTATTAGGACAGGTCAGCCACAGGTCACTGACTTTTCTTCCCAACTCCTGAAATCGCCCATTTGCCACAGTTTCCACAGAAAGTTGCACCCAGGGAATTTCTCCTGACCATCTGTCACCTGGATGCTGAGTAAGGCAAATCAGGAGGAAAGACGGAAACTGGACTTTCATTCTCATTCCTCCTATCTCCGCCTCAGAGACAACCTGCAGGTGATCCTCCTTTCAGCTCAATCCATCCATCTTCCACGGGGCTGCTCCTCTGCCCTTCAGACAACACGTAGCCCTGCGTGGCACGCTGCAGCCACCAACCAGCTGCACGACATGAGGTTTAACCAGAGGCCATTGTGAGGGGAAAAGAGTGAAGGAGACACATTGCCACACTGTTTTTCCAGCTTCCAGTACAAAGACACCATAAAAAAAGACTGTTCTGAGTCAGATTAGAAGTTCACCTCAGTCATTTGCCTGTCTCCAAACACAGCTGATGGCAGAGTCTCAACTGGAGATGCTCTGTCTGTGACAGAGCCACCTAAAGTAACCCACAAATTATGAAAAGCACATTGCAGAAACATGCTGACATCAGGAACTGCTACAGAAGGGCTCTGGGCCTAATTACAGACAAGGCATGCATGGTTTCTTCAGCCTGTAGTACCTCCAGGGAAGGAATGGTCCAACAATTGCAACAGTCGGAGCGAGGATTTCTGAAGCTCCCAGGATGCCCCCATGGGAACTGTCAGATCTCCGGTGACAGGGGACCATGGGAACACTCTCTCTTCTTCAGAGCATCTATGGATATTTTCAGCCTTCTCCTGCAAAAAGATGGAAGGAACATCCAAGATCCTGCAAACATGGATGAGGGCTTTGTTGCATTGAGGGCTTAGCAACAGGGTTGATAAAAGGAAAACCTGTATGGATAGCTGCTCTGATGCACAAAGAGGAAGCTGGGAGACCTCCCAGCAGCAGGTCTGCTGCGCCTCAGACACCCCTCTTGTGAGACACACACCACTGGCCCTTGTCTCATGCTTCCGGCCACAGCCTTCCTTTTGCTATGTGATGCTGAGGC